AATTCATGTGGTTTTATGGAAGTATATATATTTACATGTATGTGTGCAATATTAAGGTTGAAGCGTGGATATTTTTGTTATTGTTGCTTGTTTTTTAATCTCTGTTTTGCTAACTCAGATATAAGCATTGAGTATTTTGGTTGTGCTTTTTTATAGTTGCTGTTTGCTGCTAGGAAGAAGAGATAAGTCATTAAATTATCTTCTCACAAGTTGATATATATAGTTTTGTTTGCAATCTGTTGCTAGGGGCATGACATAATTTTGTCAGTTCCATATCAAACAAAAATCTGTTGATTTTGATGTTGAGTTGTTGGAAAGAGCTACAGAGATTTTACATAGATATTTCTGGAGTGATCTCAAGGTACCTAAACGCCAAAGACTTAAGATGAAAGATTTGAAAATTTCAATTTATTAATTCCTCTTTCTTTTGCTTGCCTTTGTTAATTGAAGCACCTTGTGTTCATATCATCATAGCCTGAGGTATTTCTTGAATAAATCAATGCATGAATTTTTTAATTACCTACAAAAGCTGGATTTGGACAGCTTACTGTTACGAGTACCAAAGAAGAAAGGTTCAGGGGCAGTAACTAATGGAAGAGGAGAACCCAGCTGCCTCTAACATTTTAAACACTACATCATCTAACTTGCTAACAACAAGTCTAAGCATCAGAACTTTTGAAATGCTGTTGGCAGTGGGCTAGACAGAGCACAGCTTCCAATATTACTGACTGCTGTGCACAAAAGACGATGTTATCAAAAACTTTAAAAAATTTTCCCTAGAAAGGACAAGTCTTCAGATATTTATCTCCTAAGTAACTGCTAACACTCTCAGAATGACCACTATCAGGCAGTCAAATTACAATGACATAGTCAGGAGTTGAAAATACACTTTGGCATATCGCACCTGCAAGGTAAGAGCAGTTTAAATTTCTAGGATTTGCTTTTTTTCACCATTGAGCTGCCTGTGAAGGAGCCCTGATCTCTGCACTCAAAACCCGCTGAAGAAACCGAGCGTGTGTTCTTCTCCCAACAGTACCCGGGGCTGCTCCGGCAGTGAGGGGGAACCAGCCACGTGCTGGTACACTCTCCTGCCCTTCACAGGGTCTCCCACCAGCACCATGTTTGCTTCTCAAAATCACAGAGAGTTTAAACTTTCTGAAGGGAAAGAAGAAGACTGGAATTTTTGTAGGAAAAGGGGAACACCTGAAGACAACAGGTATGAAATGCACCAAAGTGATAATCGCGTGTGGGGTTTCATTCCAGACTTGCAATCTGTCTCTGGCCGTGCGTCGTCCATTTTGAAGCGATGCCCTCTGGCCAAGGACGCCACGTGACTCATAAAAGTCTCGGTTCAGACATAAGCCTTACGAAATTTAGTGTTTTTTTTCTTAAATCTTGGCTTCCTTAGAAGCTGGTGATTCATGACTCTTAGAATTAGGGGTTTATTGTTTCCTCAGAACACAAGTTTTTAACAGTGTATTTAGAAAGATTTCAAAACATATCTCAAGTCTGTTGTAAAACTTTGGAATGCTGAAGGCAAATGATAAAAATAGTGTTAGATCTTTAATCTCAATACAAATTGAATTCCATTGCAGGGAAAGAAGCTGATTTTTCAACACTGGAGCTTTCAGCTTTTTCAGCTTTCTTCCAGCCACTTAGAACAGTCAGGAAAAGACATTTGATATTAAGGGAAGAAAAGAATTGCTGATCATTCAGAAAGGATGAGAAAAGTATTGATGAGCAATTTGGCCACCCTCTAGCCAGTCTGGCCAGATATAGTCCAGAAATCTGGGTGCTACCGAGTTTGTGCTTAAATATCTGCTCGCACACCGCAGCTCCAGAGACAGCTTTGAGGCTCCGTCCCCAGTCCCCAGCGGGCGATGTGGTCAGGAAGGGCGGGAGAAGGTCCCTGCCAGTCAGGGTGGGCGGGGCTATCCCCTGTCTGTTAGCAAGAGTGGGAAAAGCCATTGGTCAGCCAGAAAGAGGGGGAAAAGCCATTGGTCAGCCAGAAAGAGCGGGAAAAGCCATTGGTCAGCCAGAAAGAGCGGGAAAAGCCCTCGGTCAGTCAATCAGGGCAGGGCTGGCTGCTGTCTGTGAGAGAGGGAGAGAAAAGCCCTTGGTCAGTGCGTCAGGAAGGGCAGGAAAATCCTGACTTTGGTTTCTACAGAAATTTTCTGCTTTTTCTCTCTGGCCATATGGTTTGACCTCAGATCATGACTTTTAAGTCCAGCACACAGAACAGCCTTTTCTAATTTCTTTGATAATCTCTTTTACCTCTTTTTAACATGGCTTCATCCCTTCCGGAGAAGTTGGATTGGTCTGCACCAACCTTCATGGAGCACCACAGCGTGCGTTCCACCGAAGTGCCAGCTGGGAACAAGGCCAGCTTCAGGGAAACAAGTCTGTCTGGTCATGAGAGCCACGTCCCTAGGTAAAAGATTTAAAAAATTGTACCCATACCCTCTTTCTGTGGTAATACTTAAGTAGGTAGTGCACCATTGCACCTAATGGGCTTGGACAAAAGTGAAAAACATACTCTCCTACAAATCACAGGGGAGAAGGGGCTGTCACACTGCAAACAGCATCTCCGTTCCCTCAGACCTCTTCAAAAAGTCTGTAGGTACAGACAGACATACAGAAAACCGTGACAAAACAAATATACTGAATTTCACTAACAGAAAAATCTCATCATTTTTTTAAAGACTTTTTCCATACCCAGTGTATCAGCCTCAGAGGCTAGAACAGACTGGGAGCATCTTAAAAATATTTTAAAAGGAAAAGGATGATAATGATAATATTAATAATAATGATGATGACTTGGAGAGTTCTTGGTCTTTGTGACAGGGTATGGGAACCACATGGCTTTAGCAACATATGGTTCTGGGTTTTGGAGTGTGTTGGTTTATTACATTGCAGATTTTTATATGTAACAGTTTCTCTTGTGTATTTATACTGTTTGCTTTCTAAAGCTGCTATAATATTGATCTTTTATGCTATTAATGTTGAAGATCATTTCTTGTGCTATACAGAAACAAGTATCTACTTATGCTGCAACCTGTTAGAAATGATCAGGGAAACCCCATGAGATATACAGTGCCTACCCCTTCTCTGCTCACATTTTGCTGTTAACGAAACCAGCGTGAATTTTAAGTAGGCATGCTTGGCCAGCATTGTATGTTTGCTTATTAAAATTCAGTTAATCTCTGCAAAAGGAGACAGAATATCAGCAGGGGGTACACAGAGAATTGCTGTCCTATTCCTCCTATTTTGCCGCATTTACATCTTCTGTTGGCCAATAAATTGGGAAATTTGGATTGGAGCAGAAATCTGGATTTTCATATTCTGCAGCAAACTTTGAAGTACATCTGGAATATTAAGACAGTTACAGTGGACAGAACGAAATGAATAAGTAAACTATTTATGAGTATCAAAGCAATGACATGGTTTAGATTTCCTGTCTACCTATCCATTCTTTCGTCCATCTGCCCACTGTCTTCAACACTCTAGTTTTTGTTATGTTGGCGGTATGCATCACAGTCAGCTTTGCTTACCTATTTTACTCTTACTGCTTGCTGCATTACACATTTAGCTCACCAGGAAACCATTTCCTCTGTGCTTAGCAGAATTTCTATTTTGGATGTGGCAGTGAGATGTAGGACTTTAATTAGGAGGAAGAGACTATGAGTCTGAAAGTTAGGGAATCTTGGACTTGGTTATGAAGGTATAATACAGTAGAAAATGCATGTTGGCTGCATGACCAGGCCTTCTTGTATTATCAGCACTGTAAATGCTTCACTGTTTCACCTTTGGAAAGCCATTAGTCTCTCTGTGTTGAAGTTTATTAATCTGAAAAACAGAAAAGATCTTACATCGTGTTTGTTGAACGGTTTAATATTATTGAACAAAAATATTAGTAATGCTAGTAGGGCCTTTTTATACAGATACTATTATGAATAACATTTTAAAATAAAAGGTTAATATTTTCCAGAAATTGCTTTAAAAAAAATGATAATCTAGTTTCAGCAGAATGAGGAGTTAAGTGGAAGCTAGGCTACAAAACAGAAGAAACATATTCAGCTGATAGAAGAGATCTCTAAAGACACTTCATTTTTGTTTAAGGAGACTCATAGCCAAGTTTTAAAAACCATACTTGCTGATTTTGTAACAGTGGAATAATTCATTTTGTGTGGTGTGCACTGGTATTGATCATCTTTTCTTAGTATATTACTTAATGACGAAGTTGGACTTTGCTGATAAAACTTTGAGCTAAAATAAGTTTTGTCTATTCTTTTAATTCCTACCTAAACTCATGATGGTATATGGTACACTTGTAAGTTTAAGGACAGCTGAAATGTTGGAGTCAGATTGCTTATGAAAATAAAAAGCATCTGTCATAACACTCAAACCAGCCTACAGTTTTGCTGTAAGGGATATGCTGCAAGGTTACTTTGTCTTTTTCGCTGAAAGATACAGGGTTTATTCTTTTCATAGGGCATCTGTTGAGACTAAGCCTTCATATAATTAAAACTCTTAACAGTTTGTTCAGGGCAGCAGATCAAAAGGTTAATGTGCAATGGTACAACAGGAAGTATTTGTACTCTTGAATATTTTTTTAAATTTACAGCATTTAAAAACAACTTAGCTGAAATCATAGCCAAAGACAATATTACATCATTTATAGTAAAACATTAATCATCAGTCACAAACCAGCCAGTTGCTCTAAAAGTTCAGCTGGTGAAAAATTTGATGGTTTCAGGATTGAACAGAAATGTACTTTTAATTGTGTCCTCAGCCATGCATCTGGAATGGAAAATCAAAGATTTTAAGGAAACTGAGCAAAACAAAAAACCAAATGAGTTCCTCTACATTTTTGAAACAAATATCTCCTTGAAGCAGTTTTGGATTACATGATTTTTGTAGGAGTGAGGACAGATGATCAAAACTCAAAGCAGAACTAGATTTTATGATGTGAACTGTATCATTAATTTTCTTTGTTTCAGTTGTGAAGTTCTTCAAGCAATAGAAAATGTTATTCAAGATGTACTTAAAAGCTTGGCCGAAAAAAAAGCACCTGTTCTCACATTGGCTAACAGATCAGATTGGAGGAATGTAGAGTAAGTATTATATATTCTAAAGTCCTGCCTTATATTAATATAAATTCCATTAATATAAATTTGATTATGTAACTTCCAGAAAAGTTAATCATAAATAGTTCTATAAGTATTAGAATCAATAAATAATTTGACTTCTTAAAAAGTAACAGATAAAATGTAATGCTTAGTAAACCACTGTGCATGAACAGGCATCATATTATGTAACAGCAGACCATAGCATAAAGGGGAATGTAAAAGTACTATAATAGGGGTTAGAAAGGAAAGGAAGGTTCTATAAACAATCATTTTCTGGAAGTAGTAGAAACCGGGAATGGTAACTTGTATTAGAGTGAAAAAATCTGTTTTAGGCTGGAAAAAATTACTAGCAATTTCATCTTCCAGTGCCTTTGCTGTGCTTCCTCTTTTCTTTTTCTCTGCTTTTCCCAATGATATCTTATTTCTTAGAATGCTAGTGAAAAACCTATCTTTTTGTTCTACAGAGAAGATGCATCTCACCCTGCTGTATTTCTTGCCTCCTTATTGTGTTCTAAGTTCATTACCAGACAAATAATGCAAAACAAGTTTCTAATGTTATCTAAATTTCAGATCTTATGCCAGCTTATCTATACAGGGTCAGAGAAAAAGCAACCTGTCCTCCTTTATAACACACTTTGTGATTTGTAGAAGTTGCTTGTGCAACAGTATTTTTCCAAGGAGCTCATTTAAACTGAAAATACCTGAAACTGAGAGATTAATTGCTTTCCATAATACAGAAGCAAATTTATAAAGGAAGACACAAATCTATTTCTTGCCCCCGTCATAGCTTTGGACATCAGTGGGTTAAAGGATATTTAGATTGCTAAAATTGCAGGGGTGCTGGTAAGTGGACACATTATAAACATTTGAGGTTGAGAAAGCATAGCAAAGCTTCCACGCGTAACAGTTTGGTGGAGTACTCATTTAATGAGAATAATAAATTTCTGTCAATCACAATACCTGAGGGGTCTGAAGGTCATCAGTTAACTGATACGCTTGTATGTTCCAGGGAATTCAATGGTTTGTGTCTTGATATTTTGACAAAAATGTTTCACTCATATGTCTGTAAAATCAAAATACTATAACAAAGTTTTGCAGTTTTTGGCAAACTTCAGGGAAATGACATTCCAGGCTAGAAAAACAAATGTGAGATGTTACTTGCCATCAGAACACATAGGGGGAAAAATGTTCAAATTAAAACAAGTTAACATCACAGTATGTTAAAAATAAGACCCATCGCTCACATTAAAAAAAGCTGAACTATTATTTATGGTGGAGAAATGTAACCTCAGATATGCATTTCTGTTGAACAGTGACCTGTATCTCACTTTAATACAGCAGTTCAAGAAGATTAAAATAAAAATAAATAGAGAAATAAAACCAGAATGCCAAAATATAATATGCATGGAAGAAAATATAGTCAGTGGGTCACTTTTTTTCTTTTGTAGGCAGCCTTTTCATACCTAGTCTGCACAGCTGGAATCTGCTGGGCAGAAACTAGTAGAATGAGAGAAAGATTTCATGTTTGCAATGTTGCTTGTAAACATTTGTAGATGCCCAGAGAGGTATTTACCTGAGAATGATGTCAGTCAGTGAGAATGCCAGGCCTAAAGCAGCACAATCAGTTTCCATTGTCCAGCTGTATCTTTCCAGAGAAAAGGAAAAAAGAAAAAAAAAATCCCATTAGTGGAAGGAAGATTTTATAGAAAACTACTCTGGTAGGGTAAACGCAGTCCTAGGAAGAATAGCTGGATGTCCGACCTAATGCCAGTTCACAGTTGCCTTTATGGAGTATCTGTGGGAGCCACAAGGCTTAGGTCCTTCAGCACACTGTTTTCTGAAAGGAGCGTTGCTTCTTTAACCTGAGAGAGCAGCCAGCAAAGTTTTGATTAGTGTTTTCCACCCGTGCAGTTACAATGCAGGGAGTATGCAAGTGAAATGTACAAATAACTTTTAAATGTTGCTGCCTAAAGGCAAGAAAGTTACTGCAAAGCTGTCAGGCAGATGCTACTCTCTGCTGTTTGTTACTGCTGTCACTTCACGTGTGCACCGTGGTGTGTTCTGCCACCCAAAGGATGCATGGAGCAAAACCTCTGATGAAGAAATTTAGAAATATTATGTGGTTTTCGATAAAATTATGGCCATTTTACCACCAATACATTTTAAAAGTACATACAAAACTCTGAAATTAAAAATAATGTTTTAAAGACAGGGCTGTCTTACCATAAGGTGCTAAAATAATTTTAAGTAAAATAACGAAGTCTCGTTAAGAAAATAACTGATTCTTTTGGCGAAATGTGCACCTTCAGACATGAAATGGTGAAACATGAAATAGTGGAGCTCGTTCAGATTAAAGAAATCTTTAGAGAATAGGATGAACAACATTTTTGTCTCCAAAAGTTAATAATGGAATATAATTGAGTTATTCTGATAATAATTTAAGGTCATAAATCAGATAATAGTATTATCATATAAAATAATAACACTTTTTCATACATTCTTCATCAGAAAGTCACTGTGTCAGACTTGATTTGTATTCCAATAATGATTCCCATTTTTTCCTCTGTTGGTTATTCCTTTGTTTTCATATTGTTCCGTATTTTTCATTACAAATAATAATTGATGCTGATGTATTAATAGTTAGAAACATGTATAAAATATTCTTCTTGTCTCTACTTTTATCTGGAAACATGTATTTTAGGCTTAAATTTAGTCTTGAAGTACCTTTATGAGAATTTTTCATGTTTTGAAGCCAATGATCAGACAGGGGCATTTCAGTAACATTTTGAGTGGGTCATTTTGGCAGATGATTTCTGCTGGCCTTTTTCCTTCAGCCACTCCAACTCCACCCAAGTTGATGATTTCTGTACTGAGTCTGAAAATAGCACTAGCATATTTGATTATAGGAAAGGGGTCTGAGTCTGAATTACCTTGCAGAGAACAATTTACATATATTTAGTAAGCTTACAGTTTTATTGTATTTGTTTGCAATGTCTCAGATTTAAAGATTCTGTAGGTCTACAGATGATACCACATTCTACTACAAAACAAATAAGAAGTGACTGCCCTAGATCAGCACAAAAATTTGGTAAGTTAAAAAAGTCCAAAAGCAGAATTCATGTTTTGTCTTGTACTTTCGTTCAAAACTTAAAAAAAAAAAAAAAAAAGCATCGTGATTTAGAAGTGTATGGCTAATATAACCTGATATTATGACCAGCCCTTCAGCTTTTCTTTTCTCTGTTAAATTATAGTGAGTGACAGTGAAATTAATACAGCTTTCTTACAGTTTCTACCCTCCCTGAATGAAAGCATATTCAAATAGTCTTAATGTGAAAACGTCACCCTCCTTCAAAAAGCTAGCTGGTAAAGGAATGTTGGAATATGGACAACATGCTAATTTCTTTTTCTAACTCAGTCGTTTAATTTCTTGGCCTGGACAGCAGGGCATACATTCCATCACTTAACTCCATCATGTTTTTTTCTAATTGTGCTAGAAATTATTGAGTGTTTTGATTAGTACAGTCTCTCTGTGTTTTCACAGCACATTAAAATATGTTTCAAAGTTTTATTTTGAGAGACACAAATATGGGTCAATATAAAGACATATTATTGTATATGTGTTTTGAAAATGAATAAAAAATTTTTTAAAATGTATCTTTTTCAGCTCTGATGCTCAAAATGTTATCTATTATCTATAAGATGGTGCAGAGCAATACTTATGCAACTAAAAGGTAACATACTACATTTCTGTAATTTCAAATAAAGTCGTATTTTAAGAATGTTCTTGTGAAAAATGGCCTGTAGGATACAAACGTGTAGGATAATGGATTCCTGTATGTAAAATGCTTTAGGTTGATCTGATTATCCATGCTCTCTATAAAATTTTCATGAGCCTACAGCTGTTTCAGTATTATAATTACAAATACAATGTTTTGTCTTGATAGAGATATATATTATTCAGATACACTGCTGTTTGGTAGTCAAAGTGTTGTGGACAATATAATCAATGACATTTCTTGCATGCTTAAGATACCTCGGAGAAGTCTACATATAGTAAGTGGCTTATTATGAATGTTTTTATCATTATTTCCAAAACATATAGATTGAACTGAAAGCTGAAATAGAAAGAAAAGTTATCAGTTGGAAATCTGTAGTTAAAATAAAAAGTGTCATTTGTGCAATTGAAACTCAATTATGGTTTGTCATAGCCCTTGAAGGGTTTCTTTCTTTAGCGAAAATTTGTAGACTTTGCTTGCTCCAAAAGTTTGGGACACACTGCCAGGTAAAATCACAGGGCCTTTTGCTATTATCTGGCGAAGGCAGTGCTTAGAGTGCAAGACATCTCTTTAGCAATTCGTACTCCATGATTTTACTTACAAAAATTAAAGTAAGTCAGAGATGTAACAACCTTTCAGATATACTTGTGTCCCGTGCCTTACAAGAATTCCTTTGGATCTAAAGGCAGTTAACATAATTTATTGTAAGTATGCCTTTATATCCACGATGACAACAACATTGCTTAGTGTTTCAAAGGTTGGTGGCAGTCAACAACTGCTTGTTACTGGTCAGAGTTCTTTTCAGAAGTTTTCTGTTTTGCTTGGTCAATATACAACAGCATGTAATTTCCAATTTACTGTATACAACTTACTATTTTTTTCAGCTGTCTACAACTAAAGGTTTTGTTGCTGGTAATTTAAGTTACACTGAGGAAGACGGTACAAAAGTGAATTGTACCTGCGGTGCAACAGTATGTACTATAAAACAGTAACAGTAATTCATAGCATCTACCTTTGCATGATATCCTGCACTTCTTGTAGCTCAGGTTACTACATACATTTATTATACAGACCTGTGCTGGTGGCAAACTGAGACATTACAACTTGGGTGAAAAAAAGAAAGATAAAGAGTATTGCTCAACTGAATTGCAATTCTGAAGCTCAGCTATATACTCACCAAGAATGTATCATAGAATCATAGAAAGTTTTGGGTCGGAAGGGACCCCTAGAGGTCATCTAGTCCAACCCCCCCGCAGCGAGCAGGGACACCACTAACTAGATCAGGTTGCTCAGAGCCCTGTCCAACCTGGTCTTCAATGTTTCCAGGGATGGGGCCTCCACTGCCTCTCTGGGCAACCCATTCCAGTGTTTCACCACCCTCATTGTAAAGAATTTCTTCCTTATATCCAGCCTAAACCTACCCTGTTTTAGTTTAAAACCATTACCCCTCATCCTGTCACTGCTGTCTCTACTAAAAAGATTGTCCCCATCTTTCCTATAGGCTCCCTTTAAGTACTGAAAGGCTGCAATCAGGTCTCCCCGCAGCCTTCTCTTCTCCAGGCTGAACAAGCCCAACTCTCTTAGCCTGTCCTCACAGGAGAGGTGCTCCAGCCCTCGGATCATTTTTGTAGCCCCCTTTGGACCCGCTCCAACAGTTCCATGTCCTTTGGATACAGTTCCATGTCCTTTGGATACAGTTTTTACCTTCTACCACAGGAGCCTTGCAGAGGAAGGCGTATATATTGTGTATCTTAGGGTTTATATTACAATGTTCTGTCAAATAAGTACTATGAATCACACCATCCTGAGTTCTCTGAACATACTTCCTCTCTGTCACAATAGATTGGGTTTTGGCAGAGTAAGAAAACAACTCTTACAGCCTGGGTTAACATACTCATATGGTCCTCAGTGAGCTGCTACTGCCACGCTGGGCAGACTCCTCTAGTAGCAACAGCACAGATGAGAGACTGAACTGAGCTTGTATAATTAGAAATCTCTTTAAAGACATGAATTATGTTCTCATTTACAGAAGTTTAATGATGATGCTCCACAGCATTAGGGTTGATATTGTCTTCATGTGCCCAGCACTGTACAACCAAAGGTATATAACACCAGGCTGTTTGTCTCAGGATTCTCACTTACACAGAAATTACAGACATGAGAAGGGCTTGTATTGTCGACTAATTTTATCAAAGGTGGCACTGAGCTAAAGGGAGGTTTATAACCATAATTTCACAAAAGTCAAGAGCCAAAAGTGGTTTGAGGAGATAAGATTCAACTAATCTAGTCTTGAAAGATTGCCTATAGCTGTGCAGAATATGAAAGCAGGAACAGAACTCAGACTTGCTGACTGTTGTCACGATTTGCTGGAAAATGTGTTCATTGTAAGCCTAAGTTGGTAATTTCAAAATGGAAAGATAACCTTAGCTGCCTACTATACTTTGATTTTAAGCAGAGCGTAAAGACCCCTGTTATTAATGCTCTTCTACAGCTCTTCATATTTTTATTTGTTGAGTTGTTCCACCCTGGCACCAGAGGTGGTTTAGCAATCAGAAGTAAAAGCAGACCACATACTTTAATATATATACACTATTTTGCCAAGTTCTTCCTGCAGTTCCTGTTTCCTCATCCATATGCTTGCCAGGTTGAGCCAATCCTAATATGAGATGTAAATTCTTCAAATGTTACTCCAAAATAGTCATAAAATCAGGTTGTAAGTTAATAAAAACAAGGATTTAATGGGCTTTCAAAAAGAATACTTAAATATTTTAAACCTGTATTAAATTTGCAATTTTCACACCAAGCTAACTTTTTTTTCCGGCTAAGACAGATAAAAAATTAATCAGGACATTGTTATCACTGTAATGTCCAACAACAATCTTCTGTGACAGTAGCACAAACATTTGAAAGCATCTTGTTATAACAGGAGGACTCTTACACAAACATAAAATAGAGCAGGAGATGAATGGTTGAATACGTTTATAAAGAGGTGAAAATGTCAAGATTGATCTTGTATACAGAAGATGAATGGTTGTTTCAGGATGTAATTGTGTCCTTCATTACCTAATGCTGTTATTTTAAAATATATCATTTTCACTATTTAAAATGATTAATCTCATCTTTGTTGTTTTAGGCAGTCACTGTGCCATCTAATGTTCAAGGAATTAAAAGTATCCTTTGAGCAAGAACTCTCACTGTAGACTGAAAAAATAAAGTAAAAACAAAGAATATTCCAAGTTAAACAATGTTGTGGTAATTTTTTCTTTGCTTCTTGGCTCTGAAAATGAGTCATGAACACTGCTTTTGGCTCCAGAACAGGTATTTTAGTGCATTTAGTTTTAATTGATTGGTGTGACGGGTGTTTTTACATGCAGCTAGCCTTAACAGAAAAGACTTAATCTCACATGCCAAATTTATGTTAATTGTAGAAAAAGATGCAACTTTTCAGAGACTCTTGGATGATGATTTCTGCAATAGATTGTCCCCATGTATAATGATTACGGTATGCGTCTTACACTTCATATCATCTAGCTAGACACAAACAGTTAAATGATACTTTAGCATTGTAGTGGTGCTCAAACTTGATCAGAAGACCATAATCAAATTAATATGAAATATGTCTAGCAATATTTATTTCATTTTAGTATCCTGGTAGAAACACAAAATACACATTCTAAAGATTTATTTCCTCCAGACGCCTCCTTAGCTTACCAACTTCATGTTAATCATGTGTAAATGGAATATGCACACGAACTTGTTCTGGGCTACAGCGAGGAAAAAACATATCCCCATACCTAAGAGAGATAAGCATTTATACTATGCTGCATACTGTCCAGTTATAGTCAGTCATAGCAAGAACTTGTTTTATGTTGTTTCATTAGTGCCATAAATATTTTTGAGAAGAAAAAAGTGGCCTTCTTACAACAGCTTATACAGATACCAGAGTACATCTATACATCAGCTCCCAGCCCTTACAAATTAACTCCTTAAATAGGGGAATGTATGATACTTCCACAGTGCCTGTAAACCAGGACATCTGCTGCGCTGCTCCCCAGCCCATTCCTCCTTCCCTCCTCACAGAGCCAAAATAGGAGCATGCAACTTTCCCTGCAAAATAGCTGCTGGAGAAATATTCCTGCCAGCATTTTGTTTGTTTGCTTGCTTTTAAATGACAAATCTAAACACATATGTAGCCAGATGTTGTTTTTATTAATTTAAAACTGTCTGCTTTTATTTTATCTCCTTAGGGAAGAGGCATACCAGATCTTAACACACGACTCCTGGTCAGAAAGCTGTGGGATTCTTTTAAAATTCCTATTTTCACTCTCATGGATGCAGATCCACACGGTAAATCTGTAGAGGTTCAATGACATAAAAGGAAAGCAAAATTTATTTAGAATGTCGTTTCTCACTTTTATGGGAAGGTCCTCAAAGCACAGAGGTCCAGCACAATCAGAAGGTTCCTGATTTATGTAGAATGTATCTAGAACTACGGAAGTTTAACTGAAACATCAGTACTGGCTTTACATCGCCATTGAATATACCCTTACCCTCTGCGATGATTTGTTGTGCTTTGATGTGTTAATAAGAATCTTACCCTGTATCTAAAAAAGAAAAAAAAATAGAATTCATAGCTCAGAATAGAACTAGATTTTGAAAGTACCTGTGGCCCTAAAAATGAGGGTAAGGATAATGGAACTTTATGATCTGTTGCGTGATTCCACTGATATTAATGGGAGTTAGGCACTTAATCACTTCTAAAAGTCTCAGGAGGTCCTAGCTATATCTGTAAAGAGTTAAATACCACTGAAAACGTTGCTCTGTCAAGAACTCCAGCTGTTGGCTATACTATTCATTATGTAAAATGAAAGGAAATAACAGGAACATTTGTAAATATTGCTCAGTTTGGTAAAAGCAAAATTTTTAACTGCATTATGATCCTTAGGTGAGACAGACGTGAAGAAAATACTATGTTAGAGCAAAATGAGTCTTTTATTGGTTTTAAAGTAGTTCACATGCTCTTGTATTAATAACTCAGCACTGATGTCAATGGTTTACAGTAGTGAAAGCTAGAAACAATGAGTCTGATGCCAGAAGGAATAGATTCTGTGTATGTGAGTGTGTATCCCTTTGTGTGAATTCAGAATCTGAATTCACATACACAAAATGTACAAATCTCTTACGTATCTACCTAAATACCACCTAAAATTAGGGAGATTACTGCAAAATGAGAAGCAGCTGCTCAAAGCCATAGCACTAAGCAATACAGACTACACAGGACAGACACTTTTTGTGATAGATGTTGCATAATGCGTAAAAGAGCTGATAATCCTTGGTTTTGTAATGACTATGCACAGGCAGCATGAAACATTTAACTATAAAAAGGTGACATATTATGCTCAAATTTTGAGTATTTTGACATACTCTAAAAATAGTTGTAAACCATAAAGAACCTCACTAACCATAAACCCATAAATGTGATGCCATAAAATTGAGTTCTTAATGCAGCTGTCTTAAACATGCCCAGTGTGCAGATAAACAGACACTTGACATCTGGTATTCTGCAACCTAGGTATAGAAATAATGTGCATCTACAAATACGGATCTGTGGTGAGTAGAATTTTTCCACTTCAGATACATTGTTTTGTAGCCCAGCCTTGAAGCTGGAATGTATGAAATGTTACAGCCTTTGTTAGAACGGTTACTGCCTTTTATCATTTTGTTTTCAACACACAGTTTTTAGGTCTGGTGTATCTGCAAAAACAGCTTCTTCCTGCAACAACAAAAAAAAAAGGATAACAATGACAGGTGGTTCATTTAACTGTATTTCAGTTTTTCCCTGCTGCACAGGCAGTTTTCAGGAAGTCCAAACACAAAAGTGTTCTCCATTTTGCTTTGTTTCTGCCTTAGAAGAGAAATGAAGGCTGAAGGGACCTTGGGAGGAGGAGGACATCACTTGTGAGATGGGTGATTCTCCACAAAATCATGTTATGTTGGTGAAGATTTTGGGCTGGGGTGAGAATTTGCTTATGGATAGATGCATTAGCGTGGAACATAATGGAACAAGAGGCAAAGGGAACAAGAAAGCATTGTTATATTACACTGCTAAAAGGTGAGGTACAAGAAGACAATATGTAAGGCAGGCAGACTAAGGTGAAGGCAGCGGGCAGGAGCAGATGGGTGAGCTGTTCAGTAGAACAATGGAGAAAGAACATCCAAAGTGAAAAAACAAAACCAAAAAAACTATTTCAAAAAACTGTCAAGACATCAATGATGTCAGAGTTCAAATATATGTCATAACAGATGCCTCAAGGACATCCAGGGAGACAGAACTCCCTTGCTTTCAGGTGAGCTGTCATGCTTTCACCCCTCCTACAAAGGTGTGTAAGCTGATAAAACACCATCTTCCAGGACTAAATTGTCAGATTCCTTTGAAAGTTTATTTTGTTCAGTTACAGAGCAACAGGTGTATCAAATGAAACTAGAATATGTCAAGTTCATTACAAATGATGGAAGTATTCCTTTATGCAATATGTAATTTCACTGTGATACTTTGCTGTAGGGTGCTGTAGATGACCAAAGTTTTCATGGATTGTAACAGTAACCCGACAAAATCAAGTATTACACCACCACCACTTCTGGCTCAGAAAGTTGGAGTCACAAACCATTGGGAGCAGGGGGAGTACTCGGAGAAGTATTATTAATTGCTTATTTGTTCTTACACTTTTCCCTGAGGTATTTACTGTAGCCATGATACTGGACCAGATGAAACTTTGTTTGGGCTATTTTTATACTCTGTGGTACTTTCCAGGAGAAAATACCAGAAATTTCCAGATTTGATTGTCATTGCTCCCCTGGCTTTTTTTTTTTTTTTTTTTTTTTTCCAATCAGACTCACATTGACTGTAAAAAACAAAACAGAACAATTCAGACTAGACCAGCCTAAATTGGACTAGTCTGGAATCTGTCATAGGCTGCAGGCTGCAAGTCTTAGTGAAGGAACAGTTTCCAGCAAGGGGATATGGTAAACTTCAGTTGCGTTATTATCTGCTATACCATTCTGATAATGAAAATACCGAATTATATTTGTAATGCAATCTGACCATGACCCCAGAAGGTATATATCTCAAATAATTTAAACTAAAAGTCACTGAATGTTATAGTTGACCTTTCTTATTTCAGTCAATGTCTTTTGAGGCCCATCATCTCACCGTTCCATCTATAAAGTGGCTTGGTCTCCTTCCATCTGATCTTCAGAGGTTAGTTATTTCCCCAAAAGAAACAAGTATTCTTCTGTTTCATAGACAGGAAATGCAATCTGACTTAATGCACAAAAAGACAACTGAAAAGCACAAAAAGACATTTAAATGACATTTAAAGACATTTAAATGCATTATTCTTTTCATGTATTATTTTGGCTTAATATAAAGAAATAAGTTGGAATAAATATTTAAGTATATGAGAATATTTAACAACTTTATTTTCTTTTCAGATTAAATATACGCAAAGATGTCCTGATTCCATTTACAAAGCAAGATCAAAATAAATTAGCAAGTATACAAAAGAGACCTTACATTGCTAGTCAGCCAATGTGGAAAAAAGAAGTATGTATAAACCTATTGTTTCCTATTTCTTACCCCCCACAGGACAAACCCTATCGTCTGCAATCCTGTTCCTCTTCATGATGGCAAACTCTTGGTACAGCAGAACCAGTAAGGTTTTGCAGCCCTAAAAGGCAGCAAGATCAGGAAAGGCCATGCCCAGTCACTCCGAATCAGTGGGTCTCAGTGGCTCATGCCTGAACTGGCAGCAGTTTAAGAATTCCTGCCATTAGTCATGTGATGATCATACACTCTACATGGGATTTTACTGCTTTCCTAAACATTACAGAATATATTACATCTTTGCAAGTAGGAGAATGCTTGCAGCAGTTACTTACTCAGTACTAGACCTCTTGACTTGCTTGTAGCTTTTAAACCCTGTATCTCAGTTCAGGCACATATTGTGTGAAATGGTTAGAAAGGAAGAAAAGGTACTGTGTACCTTCTCCTTCCTGTTTATGCTCATCTTATAAATTGTGTCACTGTGAGGTGCAGACTAGAGAACACAGGAACGTACAGTGAAATGAATCGCAGCTCAGTGACAGGGGTTTTGCAGCACCATTTCCAGTAATACTGACTTTACAGTTCTACAGGCACATCCAACAAGTGTAATTCTTACTGAAATAAAGACCTAACACTGGAGCAGGCTGTTACAGCAGCATCACACATTAACTTGTTCTTTTTTTTGTAGCTGGAAATTATGGCAGCATCAAAACTGAAGGCTGAAATTCAAGTTTTAACTTCTCTTTCATCAGACTACCTCTCCAGAGTCTATTTACCAAACAAGCTGCAGTTTGGTGGATGGCTATGAATGCTTGTTTGCAAATGAAACGTTTTTCTTGGTATTGTTTTGTTGACTGCTCTTAGAAAAAATGCAGAGAGACAGAGGAGTATGTTTCAGCCCCTTGTTAGGTTTCTTTATCACTGCATCTAGATTATCATTATCTTTTTTCTCTTTCAAACCATAAGAGAAATTAGTATTCTTTGATGAAATACCGTTGCTTCCATCCTGTGTCTTCTGCACTGTAACAATGCCAAATGCAATGGTACGTACACAGAAAGAGAAGGCGTTCTTTCTGGCCAGAAAATGTTAAGTTCAGGAATGTATCAAGGAATTGCTTTGCCTTCTGTTCTTACAGCACAAGATGATGCTGTACCAACCTTTTTATTTCTGATGAGAGAAGAAGACTTAGGTAACCATTTATTGCACATGCCTCCTTTTGGAAATTATTTTAAGTACAGCATTGTGGCATTTTGTGTTCGCTGTAAATTCAGACCAAAAAGTCAGAGTTAGTTCTTCATTACTGCCTATCTCCAGCAGCTGTAAATGTTCCAGCAACCAAACCACTGTTTGTCTTCAGTGAACATGTCAGCAAGCAGATGTTATTGACAAAGAACTTAATAAACAATCCTGTTAATGATGCACGTGATAACAGAATCCCTTGTTCAATTTCTTCATTTAGTTGGATCTAAACCAGTAAAAAGGAGCAGGAAACTGTGGCGATTAAAGTGTACAAGAAATTTTATGTGAGGAAACTAAAGGGACTGCACAGAAAGCTCTTCCAAAACAGACCTATACAGCCACCAGCATGGCTCCCACCGATCCTATCTGCAGTAGACTGAGCCGGCTGGGTTCCTTCACTGCCGTTTCACCAGGGTTAAATTCAAAAGGAACTAAAACTCTGTTTCACTCCCGGCACAGCAGCAGCGTTCCCACCGACGGCTAACCTCTGGTGCCCGGGGGCCCAGCAGAACGCGCGGCCCTTCCCCGGAGGGGCGGGGGCAGGGGCGGGGGGCAGCTGGGCGGGTGCTGCCACCGGAGGCGCCGAACGGCTCCCAGGGCCCGGGCCGAGATAGGGAGCGAGTTCCCCGTCCCG